AAGTAGGCCTTCCTGGGGAGAACCAAGATAGCAGCATAAGGTATACACCTGTACATGCTGCCCCCCAAAACCACACCAAAACTGTAACTAAAAGAAATTAAAACGGCTATCATCCAGAACCATGGGAAAGCTGGCTGAGTGGAAGTTCTACAACTAAAAGGAAAGAAAAAAGCCCATTGAGACTGGGTAGGAGGTGCAGAGGCACCAAGAGCAGAGGTACGGAGGCGAGCGAAACGGGCTGGCAACTGGGTGCACTTTTTTTTTCAATTGGAAGGGAGATGCAAGCTCCTGACTGCTCTGAACTCGATTCCAGCGAGACTCTGGGGACCCAGACTCCTACAGGGAGAAACTGGATTGTCTGGCATTGGGTCAAAAAGCAAGGATGGCTTTCTTGCAGAGCTGCTTGCAGGGATCATTGTTACTGTGGGGGTGCGGGACTCAGGGACGCGGAGATGCGGAAACGGCTGACTGACAGCCATCGCTGTTTGCTCCACCCTGGTGATTCCCTGAGACCCTGCCCCACCCAATTTACAACCCCACCCAAGCTGTGCGCAGTGGCTTTTGCATATGAATCGCTTGTCTTTTTGTAGCCTAACCTAACAAACTGCAGCTGGGTCAGAGAGCTCCAATGCTCCCAACCCCCAAACAAAGAGGAGAAATCTGCAGATCTCACTGTAGCTCCTGCTGGATGGACTCATGCAGTGGCTGACTTTGCACCTCCTTGGAGATCCAGGAGTCAGTGTACCCAGTGGTCAGACACCAGATTTCAACTCCTCACATCCATAAGTGACACACTCAAGAGGCAGACTCAGTGAGCACCAAAGCCCGACTGAAGCAAGTCCTGCCCCATAAGGGGGTCTCCAGCACAGCAGTTCTTTCACTATAGACAAGCGGGTCCTCACAGTCAATTGCCCTGGAGGTCATTTCCTCCCAGGGATACCAACAGCAATCAAGGCTTAACTACAACAAGACTGTGCATCCAGCCCACAAAGGTGTGCACCAAGAGTGTCCACCTCAGGTGATTGGGGAGGCTGAGCCACTGGGCCCAATAGGACACCTACCACACAAAGCCACTCTATCAATACAGGGAAGCAGCCAAAATGCGGAGACAAAGAAACATGTCACAAATGAAAGAAATGGAGGAAAGCAAACTACTGGATATAGAGTTCAAAACCACAGTTATAAGGTTACTCAAGAATCTTCTACAAACCTCTGAAAAACTTAGTGAGACCTCCGAGGAACTTAGTA